TCGACATTCCTCCTTGGGCAGGGTGCGTGTGCCTGGTGTTCGGTGTAGGAGCATCCGAGGCAACAGCAACCAGAGCGTCCACGCCCGTGTTGACTCTACGTCCGTGCGTGCTTGGGTGATTTGTTCCAAACTGAAGTGCAATGCTGCCCGAATCCGGCCCCTGATGAAGTGCGGAGGAGTAGCGAACATAAGCGTTCGAGCGCGAAGCCTGTGGAGCAAATCGATGTGGTCGAGGGTACGCAATGCACGGTTCAGAGCTGCTTGGTTATGTGCCTCTCTCGCCCTGTTGGTGTTGTGTTGTGTTTGAGGTTGTTGTGTTGTTTCTGTGTGAGCCGATAAGGTCGGCGGTTGGCTGACTGTTGCCAGTGGGCTGTCGGTGCCCGTGGCGGACGTGCTTGTGGTGCTGGTGGTGCTTGAAGTGCCGGAAGAGCTGCTGGAACTGCGGGGGCTGTCGGGGGGCCCGGGTTCTGTTACGTTGTTGTGCTGGGTCGTGTCGGTGGGCAGTATCTGTGGTGGTTGTGCTGGCAGTGGGTCGGCCCAGTGTGCTGCTAGTGTTGCTGCTTGGGATGCCAGGCGTTCTCCAAGGAACGCGTGCAACAATGTCTATTGTGCGGTGGCAGTGATGTAGCCGCTGGGCTGTGTGCACAAAGCGACCGCCCAGCTGAAGTGGACCAATGTGCCTGCTGGCTGGGTGGACCCGGCTTGTTGCAATTGGTGCAATAGTTCCGTTTCTTGGTGGGGCAGTGTTCGCCCCGTAGCCCGCGCTAACTCTTGCAAGGTGCCCAGGATGTGGTGCAGGGTTTGCCAAGGGATTGGCGGGGCTTGTTGCAGGTGCGTCACGAGTTGCCTCCACTGCTGTCCAGCTGTCGGGTGCTGTGCCCATTGGTGAGTTGCGTTTGGGTCGAGGTGCTGCTGCTTGTAGCAAAGGAACAAAGAGCCAGCTGTTGGTGCTGCCTGGTCTGTGTTGCGGGGGCCCTTGGTGGTACCACACCGCCGCCAGTGCAGCTACCCGCTGTTCCGGGGGTTGGGCTGGTTGCTGGTCGGCAGCGCTCGGTTCTGCCACGGCGTATGGAATCTGTTCGGCTTGGCACGTGTGGAAATGGGGTGGGGCGACTGTGCTGCAGCAGACCCAGCCTCGTTCGGATCGGGTCATGTCGAGTGCCAATGTGCGGGTTCCATGCTGTGTGCATGCTGGTCTCTGCGGCAAGTTTTGGAGCAAAGCGTGGCCGGGTGTGATGGTGGCATTGCACCGGAGGCACACCCACTCAGGTGACCATGTGTTTGTGGGTCGGTCGAGCGTTGGAGCCCATTGCATGTGTCTGTCGGGAAGTTCCCGCCAAGCAGTGGAGGAGGTCGGCGCCCCCGGCTCGGCGAGAAAGAGGCGATGGCAACAGAGCGGAACGGTGTCTGCTGGTGGAGGCGGTGGCTGCGGCCCCGCTGTGTTGATTGCCCTGTCTGCGGTTGGCACTGGAGTGGCAACAGAGTGTTGGACGCATTGGTCCCGAAGTTGTGTCTCAGCTGTCTCGGACCAGGGGTGTCTGCATGCTGGGCAACGGGGTTGCGGGCTGTGTGCTCGGTAGCGGGCCGCGCACCCGAGGTGGAGCGGATGACTGCAACTTGGCCATGGGAAGGGTAGCTCAGGGCCAATGGCAGTTGGATCAATGGGGAAAAGGCATACTGTGCATGTTGTTGTGTCTTCCTTTGGTGTTGAAGGGTTGGTGTGCCGCAGCCACTCTGGGGTTGTGGGGGCTACGACTTGCGGCAGCTCTTGGTGGCTGTTGAGCAGGGCTGCTGGGTCTCTGGGTGGGTCTGCGTTGGGGTGTGCGGTGCCATGCCTGGGCCACTGTTCGGTGCCCTTGGGGTGATGTCTGCAATGCCGTCATGGCCAGAAGGGGGGGCTTGTCAAGTCAATGGCGGGGGGTTGCCCCGACATTGTGTGCAGAAATCCCACAAGCACAAGGGCAGTGACAGACTCAGGACGACAAATCCACAGGCCAGAAGTGAGTCCACAGGAAACCGAAAGCGGAGAAACACAGTCCAGCTAGCGCGGGTTTCTTTCTTGTTGTGGGGTGCCCGTGCCCACTGTTTTTTTTTTTTTTTCGGGACCTTGTTTTTTTTGGCCCCGGTGAAAAACTGAACTGTTTTATACTGGCCAGTTTCCAGATGTGCCGATGGCGCCACTGTTTTTTAGGTGGTTTCAGGCTCCACCGGAAAGCAAAGTCCAAACTACAGAGAACCCGGTTGTCGTCGTTTTCAATTTGTGCAAATTGTTTCCCCGTGCGCGTGGTGAGTAAATTTCATTGGTTGCAGTGGGTTACAAAAGTGGCAAATAATGAAGCCAACGCACTCCACAATGGATCATTTAACCAAAACTATTCGAATCATGAACAAGAACAATAGTACTGACACATATGAGGTTGTCGGTCAGAAACTGACATGTTGCAGCACAGAATTGTTCATTTTTTTTGCTGAAAAAATCTACTCTTTCTGTCTTTCCTTTTTTCACTTTTTACATTTTTGATTTCTGCTCGTTTTTGATTTCGCTGTGCTAGAATTCAAATTCGCTAAAAGGCACTGGTTCTTCTTTTTGCCTTCGCAGCAACCTTCTTTTTCTCCATGGTAACCACTGGAGTTGGTTGCAATGAGATAAATGGCGAAGGTTCTGCTCTGTCGTTTCTTTCACTGCCGGATCCATAACCAGCATCATCTCCAGTGCTCTCCATAGGCATTGCCTCAATAACACTACTGGAGATTGTGTCAATATGTTCTCTGAACATTGGTTCGCTTGGATCATGTTTCGAATGGAACTTTCCAAATCGCGTTGTCTTCTGTACAGTTGTGCTCTGAGGAATGAAGTCCTTTTGTCCTGTCAGCGAGAATGAAGACTCAGCTTGCAATTTCTTCTATTTCTCTTCTGTCTCTTTCTTTCTCTTTTCATATGCCTTTGTTCCTTCTTTCGGCGGGTGCTCTCTTGTTTCGTGCTGTGAGATCGAATAATGAGTTTCAAACATGTGCTGAAGTGGCCCCCGAGTGTCTGCGCCAGAGACCAGTGGCTCAAATGAAATCTGTAAGCAACCTTTTTTGACAAGGTAGTCAATTGTCTCTGTGTATTGCAACCAGGAAGGACGAGGTTTCAGTGGTGCAAAGGTTCTATCGGAAAACTTCCCGAATTCCCCACCAGCTGTCGTCATGATGCTGACAGGCCAAGCATTGTCAACAAGAAGCAAATAGCACCTTGTAAAACCCAGGTGGCCACATGATACAGCTTTCGCGGAGAACTCTCCTCCAATGTGATGTCCGAGTAGGAGGTTGCAGCCAGTTTTCTGCGATGTTGCCCCAGTCCACAATGATTTGTGTAAGATGCATGCATGTAACCTTGATCTCACCGATGTGATTAACAGATCGTATCCAGAATAAGGGTCACACTTCTCAAGCGCACGCACTTCTGAGATTAGGACTGAACACAAATTCGACACAGCGCGTTGTGGCGTTGTTTTCGACATCTTCTGCAGAACTGTCCCAAAAGAGCGGCTGAAAAATTTTGCCTCTCGAAGCTGTGAACTGCGTTTTTTGTCTCCAGTTGCAACTCAGTTGTCCCATTGGTGCCAAGACCGTGAAGAGTGCCAGATCCACAATGTTCCATCCTCCAATATCCTCTTCCAAAACATCGACAAAAAAGAAAGTTGTCTCACTCAGAGGATTGTAGCCTTCACTGTAGAACTCGTCTTGAAGAACATCGTATACTCTTTTTGACTGGGATGGCAGACAAGTCACACACAGTGAAGTCCTTAGTTTCAGAGCCAAAACAGCCTCTTCACCAACAGTCAAGCGGTCCCTGTACTTTTGATGTATCACGTGAGAAATGTCAACTAGCTCCCAAGTACTAATTGAAGTAATAAGAGGCAGCCCGTAGCTGACAAGTACTTCAACCAGCAAGAGAACACCACGAGCTCTCTGAACACATTCAACATGAGAACCCTCTTCTGTTGTGATCTCTAGAATGATGAAAGAAGCGACATCGTGAAACGGAGTAACTTTATACGTTCTTTCAATCTGCAATGCTCTGTTGTCGAGCTCGAATTTGCTCATGACAGCTTGCCTTCCAGAACCAGTTGTCTTCTGGGATGCCACAGTGCCGGAGTGGTCTGATTGAGATTGTCCAGAGTAATGCGATCGTAGCTCACCAGCTGCCGAGCTTGAAGCTTCCGATAGGTCACCTGTGGTATTATCCTCCTCAATGGCACCAGAGGAGAAAATGATGCTTTGATCACAGATCCAGAAAGAGCACCCTCTCTGGACTAAGATGTAGCGCTGCTTCATGTAGACGAGCTTGAGGATGCCATCACCTTGGACAGCTAGGATATCACGGATCTTTTCCGGAAGTTCTTGCAAGGCTGAGAAAAACCCTGAATCTACCTCTGAGTCCTCAAATTCGGTTTCGTCGACCTCCTCGAATCCGGCCAAATCCTGCTCAACAGAAGGTTGGTTTTGAAAATCACCCAAGAACTTCACTTCAGACCGAAAATTGTCTCCAAACAGGAATTTTGTTTCTTCGTCAAAGTTGTCTGGTTCTAACAACGGAAAACCTTGAAGGCTTTCTCCAAGCGTTTGCACTCGCTCTGCATGGGAGCGCGCTCGCTTTGAGTTTGCTTGCTTTCGGCCAGACATTGCAACGGAAAAATGTAGAAAAAAAACAGGAAGAAAATCAAAAAGCTACACTTGAATTTTCGTTTGAGCCAATGTGTATGTTGATGTGTATGTTGATGTGTATGTGTATGTGTATGTGTAGGTGTATGTGTATGTACGTACAGTACTAATTTTCCCTATGGGTTGTTCGACGGAAATAACCCCTCTATCGATCAACTAACTGGACGGACACCTCCGGGGTCAAGTAATATGTTCTTCAAGAACGTTCTGTGCAGATGACTTTGTCCATTGACAACTCATGAGACTTCGAGCCATGCCCAGTCAGTTGTGATGATCTCATCCCATGGTGTCTCCTTTTCTCTCACCACCTCTGAGGGTGGCGGATCAGACAAACCCATCGTTTCGCCTCAAAAACAATGTCATTTTGCGTTCAGTTTTCCATAGCAATGTCAAAGGGTTCCACTCCTGGCGTCTTACGCAGATGATTGATCTGACATGACACGCATTCTGGGCAGCGAGTGGGAGCATACCCTTTGTGCGCCCAAAACACCAGCAGAACGTTTTCTCCCATGCCGGAGCTAATTGGATAACATGGGAGACATACATCTGCACTCTGCACTCCCTGCAGTCATGTGGCAAAGCTCTTCCCGCTCTTCCATGACATAGTCTTCAGGCTGAAGCTCTTTGTACTTTCGCAGCAACCTGGGAATACGATGTGTGACATGCCAAAAAATCACATTCGCAACGGGCGTCCATCTATCGATCCTAACACATGTCGTCCTTCGATCCTAGCACAGAGCATGTGCTCAGCTCCGGGCTCTCGATATGTTTTTTGTTTTGAATCCTTGGCCGCACTAGGTCACTAGGAAAATCAACCACAAACTGAGCAAAATCCTTGCCTGCTTCCCAAAAATCAGTACGCCACGAGCTCTTCGCTTCAGCAAAAACTTATAGTTTATATGTATATATATATAAAGATATAAATAAATATGTAAATATAAATCTAAATACAAGTATAAATATAAATATAAATATAAATATAAATATACATATAAATATGAATATAAATATAAATATAAATATAAATATGTATGTGTGTGTATGTATCTGTGTATATATGAAATTCTTATCAGGCTGCATAAGATAGTTGTCGGACATGAACAAGCGACAGGATCCATCGGGTATGCAATTTTATGCATTTTTGCATGTTGCAGACGAGGGTCCAATTTCTGTCTCAAAAGAGCGTTTTGGGCATGCAATGTATCTAAAGCAAGTTCATGCTCCTCGCTCAAGTTGCGTTTCAAACTCTCCACCTGCACAAGCAGGCAGGCAAATTGCCAACATGATCATCTGACAATTGACCGTGTTTCCACTCTGAAAATGCTGCCTGCGATGCCAGGACTTCGTGGAAAGGTGCCATCCTTCAAACCAGAAGCATGTTTTCAATATTCAAATTTTGGGCCCACGGCTGCGAATTGACAAAATCCTGTGCAAACTCCCGCCCTTTAAATGTTGTCTCAATCCATTCATCCACCACTTCCAATCGTTTCAATTGCCCACAGCAGAACAGCAAAACAACTTCACATTTCCCTGATCACAAAATCTGGCCGCCAACCCCAACTCACAGAACCGAAATGCTTAGTTTTACCCAGAAGACCTTCCCTAGAGCTGGGAAACGACACACTGGTTTGCCATCCACGATGTAAATGTTCCATTCCAATATGTTTCAACCTTGTGTAAAGTCTCTCAATTCTAACTACAACTAACCAGTCAAAGGGTATATGTTAAATTGACTTGTTCCGTTCTTTATGACTGTGCTGCGGCTTTAAAGCGTTTCAAATTCCGAACATGTTTGTCCACACTTGGCATCACATGGCGGTCTCACAAACCGCTGCCAAAACCGCCGCAAAAACTGAAAGGTAGCCCTAGCGATGCAAACAGAAGGGGAAAAAAAAAATCTTTTGTCAGTCGGCATCGTGGAGCAGAGCAGCGTGGAGTAGAGCAGCATGGCTCCGCTCTACTCGAGTAGAAGGGTGACACTAGAAGTCCACGTAGGGTAGAGGCACAGTACAGGTTGAATAAAATAGAAGTAAGGTCGGGCAGAGTCAAGTAGATTCGACAGTAGAGGTACACGTGAACAAAGGTAGAGTACAGTAGAAGTCGAGTAGAACCAAATAGAGCTGACACTAAAGGTACAGGTGAACATGGGTAGAATAGAGTTGAAGTAGAATAGGATAGAAACAGGGTAAAGAAAACATCAAGTTGGCATGTAGCCCAAATAGAGGATCATTAAGAGAAGAATAGAATAGAGGAGACTAGAAAGCTGGTGCGGGGTAGGGCAAAGTAGAGCAGAGTAGACAAAATGGAATAGAGTAGATGAGAAAGGTGTTTTTGCGTCATGTCTTGCGATTCCTATTGTGTTTTGGAAGTCGCCGTCGGCAGATCGCATCGTAGCTGCAGGTAACAGGGCAGTTTATCGTGTAAACGGACGTTCCCTTGCGGAGCAAAGTTGGCTCGCTTGCGGGACGGGAGCGGGCGTTGTCGCGAATCTATCCCGCGGGTTTCGGAATAGAAGTTTCCAGGTGATGTTTTGTTTTTTCTTTCCGTGTTGACGATGTGCTATGCAAGTTATCAGCTGTCAGGCTGCTTTGTGCATTGGCACTGGTGCATCAGAGAACTTGTTCTGCAGCAACGTATTGCGATGCTATTGCATTTTGGAACTCACTGTTGCTAGATCGCGGTGGCACTGTTGCGTCAAACCTCAAATTTGAACGTTAAGATGTGCTGGAAACAGTCTAAATTTTTTGGGGCACGGAAATTCCGTTTGGCAGACAGGTTAAAATCGGATGCGAGTGTCGTCGCTTTGCCATCGGATCTCTCTTAAACGATGCTGGCAGTGGAACTGAAATTTCCAGGTAATTGTTTTGTTTCTCTGTTGACGCTGTGCTATGCAAGTTTGCAATTGGTGCATTGGAACCGGTGCATCACGGATTCTGGTTCTGCAGGTATGTATTGCGATTCTATTGTGTTTCGTCACTGTTGCTAGCTCGCATTGGGACAGGCACAGCCAAGATGCGATTTGAATGTTAGGATTCGCCAAAACCATTGTTTTTTTGGACACACGGAGGTTCCGTCGCGCAGAAAAGTTGGTTCGCTTGCGTGACGGTTGCGGGCGTCGTCGCTTTGCCGTCGAATCTATTTCGAATTGCGCGCGCTGTAACTGAAGTGTCCACGTGATTTTTTGTCTCTTGTTGTGGGCGCTGTGCTAGTTTGTTTTGCATTTCAGTGTCAGCAAATCGCAATGGAGTGACTGTGTCAAGGTTCCTCGCTGCTGCGGTTGCGTGCATCATAGCATAAACGTTTGCAACTGGGAATTAGTAATCATATTGGAGTGGCCGCACCAAGGTTGCAATGCTGCTTTGGCAGCAAGTTCTTCTCCATTTAGGCGCTTATGTTTTTTTTCAAATTATTTTCAAAGAATGCTCCAAAATCGTCCTGTAAAGGTTTCTATCGCTGCTGCGGCTACGTGCGTAATTTTCTTGCCTTTTGCAGTTGAGAGTCATAAATCGTATTGGAGTGGCTGCATTAGGGTCAGATGGCGCTTTGGCAGCAAGGTTTTCTTCGCTTCGGCTCTGATGATTTTCCTTGTACAATATTTTTTGAAATCTGTTCCAATTTTTTCCCTTTGACGCTAAGATCCGGTTTGAAGAGCTTCGAAAATGGTTGACTACCAATTGCCTGGAAATAGGACAAACACAAGTTGAAAGAGTCACAAGGAACCAGCGAAGAGGACGAGTATATTTCAAAAAAATTGCACTTGAGATAAGCTCAACCGAGCTGAGAAGAATTCGGAAGAATTGAACTGAGGTGAGGGGAGCGGAGAAGAATTGAAGAGAGGTGGAGGGAGACAAGAGTCATTGAGAAGACTCGACAAAAAGTGGAAATCGTGAAAAGAGTTGAAGAGAAGTGAAAAAAATTGAAAATTGATAAGAACTACAAAAATCGTTGAAAATAATTGAGAATAGCGGCAAAAAGAGTTGAAAAGAGTCGATATTCGTGAGAAGAGCTGCGAAGAGTCGAGCAATCGTTGCCACAGTTGACAAGAGCAAACAAGAGAGAACGAACTCATAGAACAGAGTTGAAAAAATGAGGCTTCCGTGCAATTCCTATAGGGCAACATGTGTTTTTCACTCCTATACTGAAACACTCCTTACTAGTGGAAATTTCCGCCACCCGCCTCGTGCGGGCTCTGCTTACGCAACGTGGTTGCACAGACGCCAAACAAACGCTTGGCAATTCCTAATTATTGGAAGCGCGAGAATGCTAAACCGACACGGCAATTGTCATTTTAGGTGTTGGTTTCCCATGGTGGTTGAATTTCCCCCCCAGATAGGTATACAATCAAGCAGCAACAAGAACAAGAACAAGAACAAGAACAACAACAACAGCAACAACAACAACAACCACAACCACCATTCACAAACAATTTGGTCAGGAAATGCAAAACCAATGAAAACACCCACGCAAGGCAACCATAAAAAAAACACAAAAAACATGTTCACAAATCCTGGCGCAAAAGTACCGATTTGTTTTCAACAACATCGTTTTTCGGCACGAAATCCGGGTGCTTTGTTGTTGTTTGCACAAACAAACCCGCACAAATTGACACAGCGAATGCAAGCGGCCACACGGGCTACAATCGACACAAGCGACACCAGCAACATTGGGAACGACACGAGCGACATTGGGTACACTGAAATCATGATTGATTGCTTGATGCATCGTTTCATCTCACATACACCAAATGTTTCCTAAACATTCTAGTCTTGGTTTTGTTCCTGGGAAAATTACTCTAGTAAGTTTAATCCTGGTTGCCGTTACATCCGATATATGTTTCATAGTGCATGGAACGCGTATTAATTCCAAACAAATCAAACAATGACTTCCAAAACAAAATGAAACAACAAGGACAAGCCTTTTCAAGTTGGCCCAAGAACCCAACACCTGGAAAAATGCATGCCCTTTGGTCCGCACACTTTTTCAAATTCACTTATGAAACTGTCCTGCATAGGGGATACCGGAACAAAGGTAAGAATAAAAACATAGCTAGACGGCGGATGCTTCGAGAGTCCCAAGGAAGAATTGGCTAGACTTGGAGAACGAGCAACTTGCAGACCAATTTGGTTTTCGACGAGGTCTTGGCATTGATGATGCGATGGTGGTTTTGGAAAATGATGGAAAATGTTTGTGGCAAATCTTTGGCCTGGGGATCTGAAATGTGGGCTGCCGGCCTAGATCTGAAGAAAGTTTTCGACCATATAAAACATGATTTGAGCACGACAAGGAGTTCCAGACCCGTACCTGCAAGCGTTACGCCGGTTGTACGCGAATCAATCTGGAAATGTTGGCGGTAGCCGTTTTGTTTTCAACATCACACGTGGTGTGAAACAAGGACATGTTTGAAGCCCTATGCTGTTCAATTCTGGGTTGGAACACGCCAGGCGGAATTGGAAACAATTTTTGAAATCACATGGTTTACACCTCGGTGTTTCCAGCAGGCTGACAAATATCCGTTTTGCAAACGATTATTTGTTCTGCGCGAAGTCGCGGAAGGAATCGGCGGACATGTTGGAACATCCTTGGGACACTGATGGTTGCGGTGATTCGTTGGCCGTGTTATGGGGCGAGGAGGAAAACAAGTATCTCGGCCGCACCATTTTCCGACATTTGAACAGTCGTGGCCTTTTCGAACTGCAACACAAATTCCAAATTGGCTGTCATTTTTTCACAAACAAAAATTTGTTTCCACAAACGAACACATTGCCTTGCATTTGCGTTTGATATTGTTTGATGCCGTCATCTTGTTTGGTTTGGCTACCCCTGCCTTTGACCAAATCTGAATATCTTTCGGTGGACAAATTACAACGTGAAATGTTTTAATTGATTGTCGGTTGGGTATGGTTTGACGGTGAAGATTGGCCCGATACCATGTCCCGGATGAACCGGAAAATCGTTTTGCAATTTCCATCCATGAATGCAAACCATGGTTTTCTCAGACATTCGAAGGGCAGTTTTGCACCGCAACCAAGATAATAAATTCCCGTAATTCCTTTGGGTGGCAGCAACCAGCGAGTGGAATCCAACCAGTGACTGGCAACAAAATTTTTCCCATGAACCCAAACGTAGGAAAGGTCGTCCATCAAAACGATGGGATGACAATTTACAAAAAATTGCGATCCATTATTTTCGGGCGTCGTGGGCCACAGCTGCACAGGTCGGGCCAGAATTGCCATTCTTGGAACATGTGTACGTCCAGTTTTTCAGCAATATGTGACCCATGAACCGTTCCCGTATCCGTGTAGCATCGAGGCAACTCGGACGGGCGAACGAACGAACATGGAATGTAACACCCTCAACTGCATGCATTGGAACACTGCCGCATTTTTTTTCTTCCTC